TTTAAAAGATGATCCAAAATATAAATTTCACGTTTCTAAGTTCCTTAATGATGTGATGAATGAAACAATTGTGCAATTAAAGGAGTTTAGGAGCAGATATGGAATTATATTTGATATCAATTCATTAACAAACAAGAAAAATAATGCAAAATTGTGTCTTCACACCATAAGACAGAATTGATTCTGTCAGACTGATGACTGTAATACAGTTTCTTTAAAATATATATATATAGCTTCAGAATATCTTCAATATATGTCTGTCTGTCATCTATCATCTATCTGTCTGTCTGTCTAGTAGTTTGCATTCTTCTTATTGTGCAGTAACAATTGTGTCTGATGGAGGTCATTTTCAAAATTGAAAATGTAATTTGTGCTAAATAGCTGACTACATAATGATCCCAAGTGAAAACACAGCTGGAAAAAAATAGATTAGATTTTACTGAGGATTTCTCATATAAAAAGGAAAAGTTTCATTTCAGTAAACTATAGTCATAATGTTCGCTTACGAAATCAAATAAATCCAGGCATTTTTCATCCTTCACTATAACTCTAACTACACTTTCTATGCTCTAAACTCCTGGGATTTTGTCTTCAGGAAACCCACTTTGGACTTCATTGCATAGGAAATAAGTATCTGCAATGGAATTGAAAATTCTGCACATCTTCAGTTTACTTACAAGATATGACTAAAATAATAGAAGAAATCCAGAAAGGGTAACTAAATAAGGGCTGTTTTAAAAGTCCTTCTCCACTTGATGTCACTACAATCCAGCATTCAATTGCAAGACAACCAGCATCATGGGAAGAAATAAAGTTTGATGAAGGATAACTTGAAAAAGACATAATGTCCCAGTTGAAACCACAAAACCTCTCAAACCAAACTTTTTGCAGTTAAATGGTGGTAGAACTGTTACTCTGACTAAATTAAATTTTGTGCACAGTGAGCTGTCTTTTATTTTTATATATATATATATCTTCATATTCTTAAGTTTTCGCGGGTACTTACATGTATGGCATTCGGCTTTGTTCGGATATTTTCCCATGTCATAGTAGTTGTGCTTTTAAAGTTGTAGCAACGTTTCAGCAGAATTTCATCTGCCATCATCAGGCTTCTGTATTGTGTTCGTCGACATGGGAAAATACCTGAACAAAGCTGAATACTACATATATATATTTATTTATGGATTACATTATGGAATAACAGAATTGGAAGAGACATTGGAGGTCCTCTAGTCCAACCCCCTGCTGAACTAGTAAATCCTCTACCATTCCAGACAAATGGCTGTCCAGTTTCTTCTTAAAGGACTCCAATGATGGAGCATTCACAGCTTCTGGAAACGAGTCATTCCACTGATTAATTGTTCTAATTGTCAGGAAATTTCTCTTTAGTTCTAGGTTGCTACTCTCCTTGATTAATTTCCATCCATTGTTTCTTGTCTTGCCCTCAGGTGCTTTGGAGAATAATTTGAGTCTCTCTTCTTTGTAGCTGTGATGACCCAGGGTGGGATACAAAACAAACACAATCACAGAAAATAAGTGATGCCCCTTTTATTCCTTCATTTTGCTTCCAAGCTCTGAATATCTTTGACAGAAGACAAAAAAATTCCCGCACAGTTACATGAAGAAGGAAGAAAACAACACAACCCAGGCAAGATAAGGGCTGGAGGATGTCCACAGATAACACATACTTGTAAGGACGCCAAACTCAGAGAGGAACTATAAATTAGAGATATTTACACGCTTTGTTTCCAGTATTCGCCAGTACACACGTCCATACTCTTATTCAGTTGTTACAGCTGCAGCCCATGAAAAGGATCAAGGCTCTCTCCTCCCAAGTAGACCACATCTCTCCCTTATCCTCTTCTCCCTGCGTGCCTAGGATGGGCCTGGGTCCTCCTCTGACTGCCCAGCTGGCCTCTGCCCTTCCCCAGCCTCCTCCACAACCTCCGGAGCCACACTTCCACTCCCTGTCGGCTGTTCCTCCTTTCCCTCAGAGTCAGTCTCCACCAGGGGCATGACAGTGGCAACCTGTGAGATAGCGGAACACTGCCATCGCCCCTAGTCCTTCTTTTCACTAAACTAGACATACCCAGTTCCAGCAACCGTTCTTTATATGTTTTAGCCTCCAGTCCCCTAATCATCTTTGTTGCTCTTCTCTGCATGCTTTCTAGAGTCTCAACAACATTTTTATATTGTGGCAACCAAAACTGGATGCAGTATTCCAAGTGTGGTCTTACCAAGGCATTATAAAGTAGCATTAACACTTCACATGATCTTGATTCTATCCCTCTGTTAATGCAGCCTAGATCTGTGTTTGATTTTTTTGGTAGCTGCACTATACCACTGGCTCATATTTAAGCGATTGTCCACTAGGCCTCCAAGATCCCTCTCACAGTTACTACTATTAACTTTTATTTTATTTTTATTTGTCAATTGCTTACAAGATAATAGGTATAAGTAAAAACATAGTTATGAATACATGGATACATATAAGAAAAATAAAAAATATATAAAAGAAACAATAGGACAGGGACGGTAGGCATGTTGGTGCGCTTATGCACGTCCCCTACAGACCTTCTAGGAAAGGGGTGAGGTCAATAGAAGACAGTCTAAGGTTAAAGTTTTTGGGGTTTGGGGAAAAAAACACAGTCAGGTAGAGTATTCCAGACATTGACCACTCTGTTGCTGAAGTCGTATTTCCTGTAATCAACTGACTTATATGTTGACCCCATTGGCTTTAAATTAGTCATGGAGGCAAATAGGAAGGCAACGTAGAGGTCTAAGGGAATGGCCTTGAGGGAAAGGAGGAAGTGCTTCTACCAAGACAACGATCAGATGAAAGGGGCCCAAGTCCAGGGCAAGAACGAGTAAATGTTTCAGACCAGCCCCTCCCTATTTCACATGAAGATTAAGGAAGAGGGAGAAACACATTCGGACTTGCAAGATTCTATTATTATAGTTTTACAATAAAAGTAGTATTGTCCTCTGTGGCTTTGGTTTCCTAACCCTAACCCTAGTCTGATCTACCTTGATGGCTGACAATGCTGAAGACAAAATGAGAACATTTCCCACAGTAGGTTCTTGCAGTGATATATTTCATACCTACATTTGTCACCCAACTGGAGAGCAAGTATCCTGGACAATTTGGGGAGCTTTACCACTATCTTTTCTATTTAAACATTCTAAAATTTATCATTTCAACTGCTTTCAATGTGCTATCAGCTACCGAAAGGGTGGCTGATTTTCTGTATTACCTGTGTTGCAGATTTTAATGCGATGCCTCATTTTTTACTCTGTGGTCACAGTATACACATTGCCTTAAGGTATTATCGAAGAATTAATTTTACAAATGGAGAGTAGTTAGTTGTTGTGTATGTATTTATATGTGTATCTGGGTTTTAAGATGGTATTTGGTCATAGCGGCTTTAAAGGGTCTGTTCTGTGAATTTGGCTTGGAAATGTTGGTAAGAATGTTGGCTGGTAGACACAAATGAGTGCTTGGAGTGGTCCTCGATCTAGTGGCTGTACAGTATTGGCTTGGATGGACCCAGATCTGTAACCCAGGAGTTTGGCTGGCTGCAGAAAGTGAAGTTTAACTGGTGGGATTCAAAATTTTTTACTACTGGTTCTGTGGGCGTGGCTTGGTAGGTGTGGCATGGCTTGGTGGGTGTGGTATGGGAAGGACACTGCAAAATCTCCATTCCCACCCCACTTCAGGGGAAGGATACTGCAAAATCTCCATTCCATCCCCACCCCACTAACCTGCTTTCCAGCTCCATTCTCCTGTGCAGGGCAACAAAAGAAGACCCAGCTGATCAGCTGGGACTTGGGAGGCAGAGAATAGATGGGGGCAGGGCCAGTCAGAGGTGGTATTCCGAACTACTCAAAATTTCCACTACCGATTCTCCAGAACTGGTCAGAACCTGATGAATACCACCTCTGGCTTAGGAGAGAACTGGGAGAATTTAATTGTCATTGGCATAGGAACACTGAAAACATCTGATTACTAAATTATCTCATCTGGCAGGTATGGTGACAACAATAGTAAATAAAGCAATTGACTCATCTCTGCTGTTTGGTGGAGCTGCAGCTTCCTTTAAAGGTAAGGTGGGTTACTATTATTGGCAATGACAAATCTAAAAGCTAGGATACCTGATGAAGGAGATCTCAGGAGGTTTGAAGCTTCACTGCAGGAAAGCTGGAGCTCACAGTAATGGTGGAACTGAGAGGAGCTGCAGATTTTACCACCATCTGCACTATGACTTTGATGCTGGCACCCAGGGGAGACATTGGAACCAGTAATGTTCCTAGACGCTCAGAAGCTTCATTTAATCCAAAAGGCAGCAGCCCAGTTGCTCTTGTCATCATGAGCCTATCACATTTATGCTCTGGGCTCTGCAGAAGCTTCATTCACAAAGCTTAAAATAATTTTTGGTTCAATTAATTTTTAAACTAGGTCAGATAAACAAGAAAAGTTCAGCATTCTTTATTAACCAGTTTTCTTTTAGTATAATAATTAAACAGCTTAAAAAGCTCATGGGACTTTGTTTTTGTATATATAACTGTAGCAAGATTATTACATGCTCAAAAATGGAAAGGTTCAGCCCTACTCACAATGGAGGAATGGCTGAAGATGATGGAATTTGCAGAGGTGGCTAAATAGTCTTTTTTGATAATAGAAAATAAAACATCTACATTTACTGCTGACTGGAAACCCCTTATAGGCTTTCTGCATGAAACACCTAACCTTTTGATTTGTGGTTCTGATAATTAGAAAATATTAGGTAATAGAAAAAGGAGAGCTTTTTGTAACCATAAAGAGATATTTTTGTATTTGCTACAGAAGAAAATTGGAAGCTTCTTTCTATAACTTTTTTCTTTTTGTACCTTTGTCCTTTCTTTTCTTTTCTTTCCTTACTTTTTAATGGTTTTTGATAGTTTTTTAATCTTCTTTCTAAAATTTGTAATAAAATGTATATAAAAATAACCTGTAAAATAAGGGTGGATTGTTAAAATGAAAAATTATTTGCCTGCTTATACACAGTCTAACAAACTATAAACATTTCAGAAAGGTTGACTCCTAGCCAATTTATAGCAGTCCAGTACCACAGAAAAGTTTAGGTTCCTCTTATTTTACTACCCTATTTTTTTAAAAATAAAGATCAAATTCATTTCCTGACCGTTAGGGATAGTGGGAAGTAATGTGGTTTGGCATAACAATGATCATGCATAATTTCCCCCAATTAACAGGATGCTTCAAATGTCTCTTAGACAATGAAAACCAGCACCTGGGGTTTCAAAATACAAAGTGATAGTAACATAGACAGAGGTTTCTCTATTATTTTTTAAAGCTTAAATGATAGGAATGAAACCATTTCCTTTAAGAAGTATTTTAATATAGATACTTTTTGGAAAATTGCATCTCTGGTTGGTAGCTTCAAGAAACTTACAGTTAGCCACATAAGTCCTGTCAGCAGTTCTTCTGTGCAGCATGGATAAATGTCCCGAAATCTGAGAAATTCCAGAGTCTAGGAAATCTTAATAAAAACAGCCACGTCCACAAGAGGCACTGAATAATTCCTAAGGAAGGTTCCCCCATCAAACATCTGGGCAGTGTTGGTATCCATCCATTTCTGACCTTCTCTAGGTAGGTAGATATCCCTCTGGAATTGCCCTTGTTCTGTTACTGGGGCAACCAGAACCTGCATTTAACAAAGATAATCTCATGAATATTATCTGAGAGACAAAATGTATATAAATATAGTTGGTCTTAACACAGAAGATATGAAGCTCACTTGAAACTTGTCCACCAATACTTGATCAGACCAGCTCTAGGCATATCACAAAATTGCCCAGACAGACACACTTTAAAACAGTAAGAGACATTTTTATCCTACGCCTGTAATTCCAATTTTTTACTTTATGTATAAAATATTTAAGACTTATAATTGCAATGTAGTCATTTCTATTATGCGATGATATATATTGACTATATAATATGGGAATTTCTCTTTTGTCTAAAGTTTCAAGGAAAGGAGTCCAGAGGGAGACAAAAAACCTGCTCTGCTTATTTTTAATATTTAACAACCAGATGATTTAAAGAATTAGAGCAAAAATATTTACTTAAAGGTTTGTCATTGATTTTTAAATCAACACTGCAAATTTAAGTAGGTATTATTATACACCACAGTGCTACAGATGCTTATCAAATCCAAAATAATAAAGAAGATATAGGATCTAGGCAGCAAAAATTCAATAGGTAAGGTAACTCTAAGGTAAAGATTTTCTTAACTGGAATAAAGAGAACACTGGAGATCCTGCCATGTAGCAGTATTACAGCAAAAGATACTAAAGATCAATGTTTTGTTGCCTCGATACAACAGCAATTATTTTTTTAGATGAATCTTAATCAACAAATAAAAATGCTTCAACATTTAATTAGATATTGGCTGTACTTGAACTTTAACTAAAAAAGTAATTAAAGCACTAATTATTCTCTCATCTCTTCCCAGATTCCTGTTAATGCTAATTAATGATATGACATAGCACACAATTATCTTAATCATGTTGACAAACAAAGTTTGAAATAGTTGGGATTATTAGGGTCCAAAATACCTCATAGAAATATACGTTGTAAACAAGAGAGCTGTGCATTGCTTTGGCTTTGATTCAGAAAGGCATTTTAGAGTGTGAAGTGGTGTGAATACAGCACTGGCTTACAATTCCTTAAAGTAGTTTTGGCTTTCCATGTGTCACGAGGAAATTGCAGAGGACAGCCATGCAAATCAGTGAAATGACATAGTTGCTTTAAAGATTAGCAGACAAAGTGCTAGGCTCACACTCCAAGACAATTTTTGGAATCAAATCTGAATAGCTTTCAACACTATTTAGATCACAAAGGAGCAACCACATCATTCACTTCTCTTGTGCTGATCCTTAACCTGCAGCATAAGGGTGCTATTAAATGGTTGTATCCTTCTCTTTATTGTGTGCAAGGCAAGTTAAGGAATGGGATGGGTGGATTCTATCATCATAGTTTTGCTTGCTTTCTACCAAATGTCACCTGGCCATGACAAAGCATCCATCAGTCACTCTCTTAATTGGGATGGAAATGAGATAGGAAGAAACAGTTTTGATGGACTAGTAGATTTGGTCATCTCTCAAAGTTTCTCCAAGCTTTGCACAAGGGATTTTTAGGATTGGGAGAAGAGTTAGCTGAAGGAAAGGACATGACAATCTACCGACTGGGTCTCCAATCCTATGGAGCTTATCCGTTCAGTTACAGGGTATGTCAAAAGCCTGTTCTTTACTCACAGTTCTTTGCAACACTGTGCAATGAAACAGCAAAGATCCTACTTCAGTGAAAGCTACTTTTAAACATAACAGTAGTATTCTTTTGAACAAGTGCTAAAGCCATATACAGGCTTTCATCTTTGGAACATGAGTTTAGCTCTCTTTCAGAAGTCCAACTATCAGGTGGAGCAAAAGGATGCCGAGTGATACTTTATTATGAAACAGTCTATCATAAACCAAGAGGAGAGTGATCATTTTTCCTGCAGTTTTCTAACAGAAGGCATATGAGAAAAAGAAGAGAGGAACAAGAGCATTGAAACCGGAAAGGTGCGTTAAATCCTGTACTTGTATCTGTCTACAGTTAAAGGACTCCACCTACAGTGAGGGAACACCATGTAAGTTCCCATCCATATCTTGTATACCAAAGCTCCATTTCCATCTGTAAAACTTTAGGTAATCGTTTTCCTGATGCATTCCAAATTCTTCCATGAAACAATGTTGCTGAGCTGTTTTGTGCCTGTGGAAAATGTCACATCATTCACAATCGTTCTAGTGCATCCTCTATCCAATGATAGAAATCCAGTGGTATAAAATGGGGAGGTGGAAAGGGACTGCATAGGAAGGAAATTTTTCACTTTCATTTTTTATTTTGTGCTACTCTAGAAAAAACTTGAGTAGAATGGTATTTGATGTGGCCAATAAAGTGAACTCAGAATAAAGACTTTGCAGCAAATAAACACATATTTAATTCATAACGTTCAGACAGAAGGAAATGAGAATGATTAATCCCAACAACCTCCAGCCCAATTTCTAGAAGATCAGCTCTGTTCCTTCCTTGCTTTGGCTTAAGGAAGTGACATTAGAATTACCCATGAAGACTGAGAGAGAAAAAGTTAAATTTTACAATGCTTCCCTTCAAGGAAAAATGGATGAGCTGATTACTCTAAGGCTATCCATTATGTGGAGCTATCCAGTGGTGGGATTCAAATTTTTTTACTACTGGTTTTGTGGGCGTGGCTTGGTGGACGTGGCAGGGGAAGGATACTATAAAGTCTCCATCCCCTCCCCACTCCTGGAGGAAGGATACTGTAAAATCTCCCTTCCTCCACACCCCACTAACCTGCTTCCCAGCTCCGTTCTCCTGTGCAGGGCAACAAAAAAAGACCCAACCTATCAGCTGCGACTCCGGAGGTAGAGAATAGATGGGGGCGGGGCCAGTCAGAGGTGGTATTTGCCGGTTCTCCAAACTACTCAAAATTTCCACTACTGGTTCTCCAGAACTGATCAGAACCTGCTGAATACCACCTCTGGAGCTATCTTTATCTGAAAACTGCAGCTGATGCAGAACGTACTGGCCAGATTGTAGAACAGAGCTCTTAGCTGTTTCTGTGAAAGCAATTTGCACCGGCTGCTAATTGGTCCCTAAAGCACATGAAGACCTGAACAACTTGGGGACTGGAATATTGGTAGACCATCTTTGCTGTTACAGACATGGGTGATCGTTATAGCCATCTAAATCTAGCTGCATGTGCCAACTTTGGCAGAAAACCATTTTGCATTTTCTCATGAACAGCTTTCTTTCTGGTGGTACATTTGGCATTGTATTCTGTAAGTCATTTTTAAAGACCTATTGTATACTTCTTTAGCCAAGCTATTGGCTGCATGGATGTTGGATAATGTTTCCTCTCCCCCACCAACTTTGTAGTAAAAAACCTGTATTGTGTACCTTATATATATATATACAGGTACTTCATAAATCTATTTGTGAATTGCTTAGAAAAGCATTTGATTTGAGGCAGTATAGAAATATTTTAGATCTAATATATGGCTAATATATCACTTACAAAAAAATTCTAAATCTCTATCATGCCTTTCTTAAATTATGTTGCTTAAAAGAACATCAAACCTATTCTTCTATTTATTTTTTACTTTCTTTTCCAGCTTTCCTTTTCTATTATGTTTTAAAATGAAGCAAGCACAGTATTCTATGCACACTGTTCAAGCAAGCCATGCTCGTAATTGTGACAGCTTTTCAAAAGGCCTTTAAAGAAATAATCCTTTTCTCCCTCCCTTTAACAAATAGCCCCAAGCATGTAATACACACTGGTTGACTTCCATTGACTCATTGACATTCTAGTAGACTAATTCCCAAAGGTTGATGAAAGAGAACTATCATTGCAGAAGCCTTCAGGTTTTTTTTCTTCAACTGTGTGCCTTCCCAATGTGTCTGTGTCACTGTATTTGATGGTCGTCATCAGCACTAGCTGGAATTTTGATGGGAGTGACCATCAGGTTAGGGAATGGTGGATAATATTTTGTCAATGTCAGTCTTAATAAATACCTTTTTGCTGATGTGCTGTACAATATTTTTTTTAAAAAAAACAAGTTTTATTGATTTTACAAACAAACAAACAAGACAAAACATCATTAAACATTAAAAACATAAAACCTCTTTCCATTGTAGATCCTTACAAGGCAGGTAACATATTGCTTTATATCACATACTTATAATTTATCCCATTTCCATATAAACACGTAAATTCCCTTTACCAAATTCCACATTGTTTCTCTTTAATCATTATTCAATCATATTTCCTTTCTGATTTATCTGCTATCCAGTCATCAACTTTATATTTCCCTCTGGCTTGTTTATAATTATTCTCATCTAGTCTTCTTCCGAGATTTTATTATTTAATTCTTAATTAAACACACACACATAAAACACAGACATAAAAACATAAAACTTTCTTCTAGAAAGTAACTTGGCCCCAGATTACCTCTTTTTGTATGGACTCAGTTGTATTCATGCTTTTCTTATATACCATTACCCATCTTATTTACCATTCTATATCTATTATATAACTCCTCTCCACTTCTGCCTCATCTTAATTCTGTTTTATATATTTAATCTTGCTTTTTTTAAAAAAAATATTTTTATATCTTTTGTCCATTTCTCCATTTACATCTGTCTCATTTCCAATTTAAGAAAGAATAGTTTCCCCTGGAATCACTAATCGGAGTATGATGCCTTTCTATCATTCCCCTAAGTTAAAATTTAAAATAACACCTAAATCCCAATCAGATTCTGCTTAGTACATTCTACTATTTCAAAAACCAATACTACAATAATAAATCCATAACAATCAACACATTAATCCATTAAACTCTATATTCAAACTAATATTTTAAACATTCCCTTTAGTATTTTATTAAAACTTATTATCATTCATTATTAAACCTTTTAAAGTTATACCTTGATATTTTAGCCTTTTATTAGATCTTAAAAAGTTCTGGTTATCTACTTATAATACAAATACCACTATTACAATACTCATGTGTACTTTGCAGAATCCCCCCCTTTTTTAAAAAAAACCCCATATATTACCCATTATCCCTGAAAAAAATTTCCTTATCTCCATCTTGTCTTATATCTTTGTAACTTTTTCCCCCTTTTCCCTTTCCTTCTTAGCCTGCCTAAACTTTTTACCCCCTCCTCTCAAAACCTCTGCCTTCTTAATTTCCCCTTTCTGCATTCCTCTTTCCTTTTGCTTTCTAGCATTCTGTTGTTTTTGCATCTTCTTTTTCTCTTTCATAAATATTTTTTTATTTCTTAAGTCCTTCCTTTTCGCTCCTCTCTTTCTCCTTTCTTTCTTAGTCACACCATTTAGTTCATTAAAAATGGCTTCTTCTTCCTCGGTTTCTTCCAGCTGTTGTTTAATTTGCTGACACATAGCAAGCGCCATATCTAGGAAACAAAGGGCTTCTCCCATAACATCTTTGCCTTCTTTCTTTGTTTTTAGATATTGTTTTTTTAGTTCATCAAGAGATAGAGCCATTTTAAAGTTTCTTCTTCTCTTTCTGTATCCTCTTCTTAAACCAATCAGTTATTTCCAAGCTTAAAACAGTTCCCAAAAGTCCCAAAGTCCCACAGTCAACAAACAGTCCAGGCAGAGTAGAAGCTTCTTCTTTTTACAGTTTCTCTTCTAGGGGTGAAGTCAAATTAGGGAAGGAAAATTCTCTTTATCTTCAAGGCATCTCCTCCAGCAAAGTCTTAGAGTAAAAATTTGTTTTCCCAAGCCTCTCCCTTCCCACTTATAACAAAGGAGTTTAGGTTTTACCTTCTACCAAAAGGCTGGTTTCCCTTGTCCATTTGTTAATTCCATAGGGGAGGGAGAGTAACTTCCCCTTTTCGTCACTTTTCTTCGCAGCTGAAAACATCAATCGGGAACAATAGCTTCCAAGTCATTACTTTCCCAGGTGTTAAATATATCCTTAAGGTCCCAGTTCGACCAAGAAAAAACTTTATTTAAAAAGAAAAGAAAACTCCTTCTCCCTCCTGCGCATTCTTTATCCAATTGCCGGCTTCTTTATGGTGGCCATAAAAAGACCACCGCTGGAACCGTCTTGAGAAAAGGGGATTATTGCCGGCTGGGGGGGGGGTTGCGATGCCCCTCACCCCCGTCCGGATCCCCCCTATCTTCAGCTGCCCCAACAGGGGAGCCTTAGCCTCCAAATCCGTCAGGATCGGAGGCACCAAGGCGGCTAGCACAGCAGGAATCGCAGAGAAGGCGAATCCCTGCTGTCAGCAAAGCCGACAACCGGAAGTGTCGGTGCTGTACAATATTTTTAAAAGTATTTTCCGATATTGTGATGCACTCAGAGTTTTTTCTCCCCTAAACTAGAGAGATTTCTAAAAGCCTTAGGGAGCTGACATTTTCAGGTATTCTAATACGCCTGTAAAAAAATGTCAATCAGCCCTTCGGAGCTGGCCTAAAATATGCTAGGAAAGAACCCATGTCTTACCTCCTCGCCTATGAGAAATTGGTCATCAATGGTAAAGGCAGCTGGCTCAGTGGGGCTGAGCCACCAGGTGGGTCGAAAAATTGGATCCCTCCTAGATAACCATTCCTTGCTGTATTTTTCAATGAGTGGAACCACAAAATTCTGGTGTCTCTGAATATAGTACCTGGTGAGGTTCAACACCTGTAAGAAAGGGAGGACAATAGTTTTTTAAAAAAAATACAAATCAAAACAAAAGGTTGTTTTAAAATATGTCTTAATGAGTAGTAGAGGCAACAAACATTATTTGCAAACATTACCTCACTGAGTAGATATAGAATTAGCCAGAAAACATGAACTTCTTGGTATTTCATCAGTTTATTCAGCTTCTCAACATATTTAGTCACTGATGGAAATTTCCTCCCTGAACTGAATGTGGTCAGACTTTACATCGTCACCAGTGGCAGCAGCAACTGCACATGCCCCCTGAAATATAATCTAATAAGACACTTCTAGAGAAAAAAATGGTAGGAAAGCAACTTGTGTAAAGTCAGCTGGAAGCCTAGAATCCTGAAAAGAGGTTAAGGAAAGGGAAAGAGGGAGGGAAGGGAAGGGAGGAGAGGAGAGGAGAGGGGGGAAAAAAAGGAAGGGCTTCCAGAAGTTTTTAAAAAGGAGCAAGATGGGAAATAATTGCAGTGGGGAAGAATTCCAAATGTGGGAGGTAGGTAGCAACACACAGCCAATCATCAGAAGAAAATGTTAAAGACTAAGAGGAATGAGGCCCCCACGGAGAGATTCCACCTCTGATAGGAATGGAACATCACCCCCTGTATCCCTAGCAATGCTGTAAAGCTTCTGGAAATCTAGGCTAATATGATGACAATAGCAATAGACTTATATACTGCCCCATAGTGATTTAGAGCACTCTCTGAGTGGTTTTCAATGTTAGCATTATTTGCATATTGCCCCCAACAATCTGGGTACTTGTTTTACTGACCTCGGAAGGATGGAAGATGAAGCCCCATCTGGATCAAACTCCAGACTATTAGACTTAACTACTGTGCTACCAGGGCTAAGGACTTTCCAGCATTTCCTGTAGAGGATTGCGGCAGGGATTTCCCATTGGTGGCCATTTTTACCTTGCTGGCATCCTGTCGCATTGCCCTCCCTTATTTTTCATAATTGCATTGCTATCCTTCTGATACAATCTCCAGTTAAGGCCTTTTAAGCCTGCTTTTTTTACTCTTGATTTGAAAAGAGGCACAGTGAGTAAAACAAGGAACAGGGAAAGGTGCCAGTTAGCTGCCTTTTTAGTGCCCCTCCATGGCCAGTTGAAGGGAGTCCTGGCCAAGGCAACGAGGGGAAAGTGAGAGCAATTGCCAAGTGTTACACAAAATTGCTGCTAATGATTTGGATTACAAAGCTGGCGGGCACATGAAAAGGCACGAGGAGAAGGCTACTAATAGCTAAATTGAAAGGAAGAAGTAATGCAAAAGGAACTGAGTGGGTAAGAGGGACAAAGAAGAGACAAAGTAAAGGAGGAAGAAGAGAAGGAAGAGGATTTTGAATTGGCTAGGAGAGAGAAGAAGCCCATGAATGGCATTGTGGACATGGCAAACCAGGTTTTGGCTAAATTTAATTCTAAAGCATGCAGCTTAAAATGAAAGGTTGGAAGCACAGTAAAATATCATTATGAATTGATGAGGGAGGAAAGTAAACATTAATTGGAGTAATAATACATTGAGAAAATGAAAAGGCAAATGTTTGCAATATTAAGAAGGAAAGTATCACAAGAACATGTACTAGAATCTGAGGACAAAAAGAGGCTTTCTGTAAAGGCATAAACACCCAGTCTCACAAGAAAATAGAATGAATTGTTGTGAAAAGGAAAATAGAAATAAAGAGAAACATGAAATTGATTGTTTGAGAGAGCCTTCAGAGATTTCTGTTGTGTCTTATCTGCATGAGATCTCAAGCTTTAACAACTAAAAAGGACAAGCACATCTTTTTCAGAGGAACTTGAAAGGAAGCAAATAATCAGCCTGGGAAGAGGTTTCTTTGATTTTAGTGCCGTTAGAAAACAAAAATAGTTCACTGAAGTTTACCTACCCAATCACTACAACAGATCCATGGTGGAGTCCTGAAAGACATGACTGGAAGGAAGGTGATGATTTGGAGCCATCTAATATATAGCTCTTCATCAGTTAGAAATTCTGCTGAAAATGTTCCACCTTTACAAAACACACAGAAAACAAAATTAGCAGCCTATACGAAATGTGAGATAAACCTTTAGTATTCAACTTTAATTTTGGATTCAGTAAATGAGTAATCTCTACAGTGAGTTGATAATATAATTCAAGTCATTGTAAAATCACTTCTCTGTTCTCTTGATAACCAGGACAGTATTAAAACATAGCATAATCAATATCGTATCCCAGATCTACCCAGTGTTGAGTTTCTGTGCTTTTACTGTCTCAATCCCTTGTCTGCTAGTGCAGAAACCAGGGAAAGGGAGTATGGGATTGGGGGTGGGGAGGAGAATTGCTGTTAAAATCAACATTATTTTTTTACAAAAGTGAAGATCACAAATAATAAAGGAACTAAAACCAAGGAAGGGCTGATCCTACGTACATTTTGCCACTGATTAAATTTGAACAGAGCAAGTGTTTTAAAGTATGTCAGAAAATTGTATAATGATTGTAGTGGAAAATAACATTTCTGACTATCTGATTCTTCAGACAAAGCAATATAATTGGCCTGGTAGGTTTAGATTATGAAAAATTAAACTGATACACATTTCCAGCTGGAACAGTACGATACTAATATAAATAGCTGAATTTCAGACAAATGACCAGATAATTTCCTGTTAAAAGAAGGGAAATCTTTCATCCTCTGTCAAATACATTCACATTCATTTTTCAAGCAGCATTGCTCTTATATAACAATAGTAATAAAAAATAGACAAAACCATAAGAGTCGAAATAATTAAATGTTTCATATTTCTGGGCCTTTTATTTCTTTCTTTTTGTTAAACATATTTCTATTAACACAAATTTATTGCATCTGGATCTCTTAAAGACCAGTCCAACTCAACAGTTGTTATTTTCACCTAAGCTACTACAATTAAAGTACCATTGAGAGTCTGTTCTAACAGTACCTAACTCTTCATCAGTCCCACATTTCTAATATCAAGACAATGGGTTGTTAGTTAGTTAGTAAGTTAGTTAGTTTATTTATTTCCCATATTTTTGAACCACCTATCTCCCTCAAAGAGGGCCTCTAGGCCATGTACAATAAAATATAAACATAGTAAAAAATTAAATGTTAGAATTAATTGTTCTTAGAAGGGCAAGAATAATTAAACCCTCTTAAAATTAATTAAATTCGCAGGGAATCAACTAGTCTCATAACTGCCTGCTCCTTTAGGCTTCACAAGTGAGGCTGCAGAAGGGAAGAGCAGGAGAATTGGGGGCCTGTCTCACCTCTGGGGAGAATATTTTTTTTTGGGGGGGGGGGAAACACAGGGAAGGCTCTCCTCCTAGATCCTACCAAGCAGAGTTCTTTAATTGTGACAGTCTGCAATGTATCTTCCCTGCCTGACCGGGTGGAATAGGCTGAAGTAACAGGACCAAGCAGGTTCTGTAGATAGCCTGGCTTTTATGAAAAATGAAGGAATGTTTTACAACACAAGGAAACTTGTTATGCAAAATTGAACTATATCTGCAAGTAAGTTATTGCATGTCTCAAAGCAATACATTATACATATTCTGGGAATGGCCTACAAGAAAGCAAAATGCATAAGACAAACTGGACAGAAACATTTGAGCCGGCACAAGCCAGAAACTCCTGCTTTCTACTTCGGTCAGGCAAATGTAGGTGATAATATGAGGATTTACATTGGCCAAGAGCCCCTGGAAGACAACAACATCATTTCCCACCCTCCAGAAATGTTTGGTGGCTCATATTCAGGACAAGGCCATCTGGCAAAATAGGACACATCCTTAGTATGATATACACATTTACTTCCTCTAGGTTGTAAATAGGGGTGGGATTCAACATTTTTAACAACCGGTTCTGTGGGCATGGCTTAGGTGGTGGGCGTGGTTTGGTGGTCATGTGACTGGTTGGACATGGCTTGGTGGTCACGTTATTGGCTTGGTGTGGCCAACTCAATATCACACACATCGAGGCACGCATCTCCTCGCCTGGCCTCTCATGACTGTGGGGATGTTGCAACAGTCGCAAGTGTGAAAAATGGGACATGGCTTGGTGGTCATGTTATTGGCTTGGTGTGGCCAACTCAATATCACTCACATCGAGGCAAGCATCTCCTCCCCTGGCCTCTCATGACTGTGGGGATGCTGCAACAGTCGCAAGTGTGAAAAATGGTCATAAGTCACTTTTTTCAGTGCCATTGTAACTTTAAATGGTCACTCCACACAAGCAAAGTACCAGCAAAGGAAGGGAAAAAAACTCCAGAGAAGTTCCTGAGACAGGAAGTATAGTCCTGCCAAGAATGTAATAAGGGTTAACAGAGAGGCAGTTTCTGTAAGCAACACCAGAATGTTTCCTTCCTGCCTTCCTTACAGGATTAGGCCAGTAATTTCTTCTAACAACCAGTTCTCCAAACTGCTTAGAATGTTAACAACCGGTTCTATCGAATAGGTGTGAACTGGTAGAATCCCACCCATGGCTTAAGGCATAACAACAGTATGTCAAACTAGTTGTTTATTCAATGAAGCGTGTTTTTAAAAGGCAATGCTTATCACAGCATGATTGTTGCAGATTATGAGAACAGAGTTTAAAGCAGCCTATTCCAACACTCAGAGACGACCTTGAAATTACAGAAACTGCTTTTATTTTAGGCAATCTGAAATCACTTCAGGCTTTTAGTTAACTTCGTATGAATGTCGCTTAGGCCAAATTATTTTGTAGTACAACTATTTGCACACAATCTGCCCCATTCAATTCCACCTTCAACAGGATGCCTTTCCCCAGGCTTGTGATGGATGCATTTGACATGAAGAGTTAGCTCTGCTTATTCGGTAACAGATTCCTCATTGTTCCTGAGGATGGTTGCCTTTCTTCTTTCAGTTTAGAAAAGGGCTTCAATCTCTTTGCCCGGCTTTTAAGGGGTTGCCTTTTTTCCTGCTGCATTCAATTATTTTAAGACTAAATGTTGAATGCTGCCTGAAGCCATAAAATGAAAGTCAGTAGACTAAAAGAAATAAAGTTGATGACATATCCATGGAATTGAAAAATACCATGTTTCTTGTCCTCCACAAGTACAGAAGATAAGTGATGACATTTTGGAAATGCCCAATAGCTTTATTTTAGATTTTGCAGATGGCCAGAAAGCTTCTTGGCATAACTTGAGCTAAATGGTACAAACTGATGTCTAACGAAGAACAGCCACAAGTATCTGGGAATTTTCATTCATAATCACAAATCTGAAACAAAGTTTCATATCTTATCAAAGGAAACTGTCTTTTAATCAGGTCATTTGTCAACATAACACATTATTAAACTGATTGGTTTTATATCTTCAGTTTCCAGATCAAAACAATTTTAGCTCTACCTGGAGTCTGAAGGCATTAAACCTGGGAAACTTTCACAAAGAAAACATAGTATGTCTTTGAGCTCTTGAAGAGATGTAATCCATGCTGTGAATCAGCTGCAAAACCAAAAATCCCTGTGCTTTCATCAATTAGAATGAATGAAGCCAAGATTAAATGCATATGGATTTCCTACTTATATCCTTCAATTGTTTTTACTAGTACGCAGACTAATGCCTGATAACTGAAATCAAATACTCCAGTGTGGCGGCAAAATTGGATATTGATGTCAGTTTGTGTGCATTTGTTTTCCAATAGGAATCTTAAAAGCTGCCTTTTATTGTCAGACCAGTAATCCATCTATTTTTTTATCTTTCATTTATTTATATTTTGTGAAAAGCTTACAAGACAATAGAAATAAGAAAAAAATGTAAGTTTAAATATAAGAAATAGGAACTAATATTTGGGGACAATATGACAGGGACAGTAGGCACGATTGTGCACTTATGCCCGCCCCTTATAGACCTCTTAGGAATGGGGTGAAGTCAATAGAGGTTAGTTTGAGGGTAAAGGAGTGGGGGTTTGAGCAGGTGACAACAGAATCAGTTAGTGAGTTCCAGACATCTAGGTATACAAATTGACCGGCAGTGAGTTCCAAAAAGGATTCCCTCCCCTGAATATTACATAGAAAAGGCAGCACTGGATTTGTAACTTTCTGTTTATAAATATGTTATACTGGAAAGTTATTGCCTGATTTTTCATTTATATCTGTATTAGCCTTTTAAAACAGCTTTTGAAAGAAGCAGACTATATAATAATAATACCTATTGCATCTGGAATGAAAAAATTATAACCAAGAAGACTATAATGAAGCACAGATGGGATAACCCCTTTCAAACCAGTGTAACTCCAGTCAGATTGTCGTGGATTCATTTGGAAAAAGAGTGGCAGGTGGCTGGATCTGTAAGCAATACAAATAATTAGATGGTAAGCATGGAATTACACAAATGCCCAGTAAGTTCTTACTGGAAATACCAAATGCTGCATCAAAATTACAAAAAGTCAAATGGACCTTGAACATGAAATCAGATCCTGCTTTTAATGTATCACTCCTAACTTTCCAAATAGAAAGGCTAGGCCAGGATAGATGATTGCACACAGGGCTCTGGGATCTGCTATTCACTAGAATACAGCGAATGGAGGGGGACAGTGGCTAGTTGAAGTTTCCTTTCTAGAATCCCTTTAGAAAATGAACTTGGTCAAAGGAAGGCCAGGGGATAAATATTTTCCAACATGCAGTTCAGACTCATGTGAAGCTCTTTTAAGACATTTGGGGGATTAAAAGACAAGAATTTCACCATTCAAAAAGAATGGAAAGCAGCCATTCAAAAAGTTCAGGTTAAGGCCTGAACTCAAAAACACTAACTGGAATTTCTATTGTTCAGGTTTATCCCAATGAAATGATAGCTCTAATTGCTAAGGTTATTAGAATTAATGTCAGGGTCATTGACTTGCATGTGTAGAAAACTCCTTTTAACAGAAAAGAATGAAAAAGAATGGGACGAAAACACTTGCTTATGTGGCACAGAGGTGAGGAGGGTTGCTTGCAAATGCATGGAGTTAGGAGATGTTTGAGAGATATTCATGCAGGGTTTTGGGAGGTCTAGAATTTTGGTGGAAGGGCCCTTTCCTAGAGCATAAAAACCTCTTGAGTAGGAAGACAAAGGAAGGGTCCTTATTGAGATTGTGATCAAAGCAATCTGCTCAAATCATCTAGTTTCTGGCATAAGATGCTAGATCACCATGGAGTTTCCCATTAGCAGGCACTCGTATTAGTGCTAAGGGACTAAGGGTCATGACACATCGGCATTCTTTCATTCTTCTGCTTAAAATGAGGTGAACTACCAAATGATGTTGTAGTGCCCTACAATAACCAATACTTTATGTACTTATTGTGAAGTGGGGATAATGATCAAGGCAGGGATAGGATGCTAACTTTGCCTTCCTTTTTGAGGGTTTGAGAAGGAAAATATAGCTGTGTGTAAGTGTCCTAAGAAAATAAACCCAGCATATTGGAATAGGATGATAACTTTGAGTCCCGTGGGCATGTCTACCTTGCTTCTAAGCTAAAATAAAACATGTCTGCATTTCACAGCTGAAATAGAGATCTTTTTTTAGATGGAATTGATTGTTATTTCAATAGCAGCAGAATTTATGGAAGCTCAAGTCACACTGTACACATTCAAAGAAAGGCACTCATAAATTGAGTCCATGATGAAGGGGTGTTGGCAAATGAGATCTACTTGCAATATGCAGTACAGAATCCTTCCTTTTTCTTATTGTAGGTTATTAGAGAAAAGGATATATTGTAGAAGGAATCACAATCCAACCCTTGAACCCATCTTGATCCCTATGTGCACTTTCAGCAACTTGGGATGTATGCTATGCCCCTTCCAAAGGAATAAGCTTTCTCCATCGTAGTGCTTTTAACATGGAATGTAAACCGTGAATCCCATCCTTTTACTGCTCCAATGGTTGTCATCATCTTGGTACCCTTGGCATCCCTTGTATGTTTTGGGAGATAAGATGGAACTCTTTGTCATTTCCAAAAATGCTGGAAAGACCATTTATTCCATGATATACTGCTCTTTCATTGCAGAAAATTAATGGGAAAATAGTCCCATAGTAAATATGCACGATAAGCCTTTCCACTAGTAACTGATTGGGAAAAACATTGTTATAGAAAGCAGATGGAGGACTTCAGGGCTAGTCAGCACTTTCCTTAATTCTTTGTTGAACTTTGTCTGAAAAATAAACTAACCCAATGTTCTTAATCCCATGTTGAACCTAAAAACAGGAAGAAGGGAGAAAAAATATATCTTTGACGACAGCCACTTTCCCCAAATTAGTGCTCTCTGCAGTGTATGTATTTGAGGTCATTTCCCACAATTCCCATAGTTTTCAGACAGACAACATAATTGGAAATGCAGGAGGGAGATCTAATTTGGGGAGGTGATTGCAGAGAACTCTAAACCAAAGAAGTACAGCATTAGCAAGTACTGTCTAACTCCAAGAACTTTATTTTTAAAAAATAAAGGCTTTGAAGAGTCACCTTGCAGCAAGACGGGCGACAAATTTAATAAATAAATAAAAGATTGGAAGACAGGTCTGCCTAAGGACAAGGTATAGTGTGATATTGTTTTCTTGAAACTAACCTTGTAGCACCAGTAATTATTGATGAATTTCCCAACATTGTTGCTATTGAGGCCAAAATACGAATGTACTTATCCCCTCTGAGTTCTGCAGGAGGTGAGATTGCTTGTTCCATAAATAAGTTGCCTTCACTACCTTCAAAAATCACATACTTTGCTCCCAGTTGTTGCTTCAGGAGCTTCACCTGGTCCAAGTACCAGAGCACTGCAGCCTGGCTGGTTACATTCAGACAGGCTGAAAACTGGCCTTTCCATTTGGTGAGGAGCGGCACCTGTAACAGAAAGGTGGGCATAAGAAAGCTGTAGCAGAATTGGAAACTAATTCTTATAAATGGATTAGCCTACTAAATTCATCTGCTAAACTGGAGGACGAAAAGGCTCAGCTTCGATTGTATAATATTAGACTTATAGAATTTATGTATGATCTGCAAGTAGGCAAACTGGGTGAATAGAGGGGAAAAACATAATGAAGAAAAGTCAATAGATGAAAGGGGAATGAATGTGGGGTAACACAACTGGTTTGCCAAGACAGAAAAGGTATAGTGAATAGTGTTCACTATGCAAATTTTAACTTTCTTTTCCCGTATCTTATCTCAGGCCTGTTATTTCTTTGGCTTATGATTTCTTATTTTTTTTCTGCACACTGTGTACACTGAAAGGAAATTGCATGGTAGGTGTTTACTTATTTAACAGCATTTTCGTACTGCTCCAATATAAAACATTCTGGGTCATCGCACAACATGCTCATCTGCGTACACTACGTGTAAAATATTTCCATGCCAAAGTTTCCACTTCTTAATCTTTCACAAGGTTATGCTTTACCCTTTGAAGCATAACTGTGATCTTTTCAGGCAACCCCAGAATGCTGGATGCATGCTGAGGTCACGGCAGTCTAATCAGCGCTCGCTTTCTACTTGATCAGGAGAAGACTATCGCCCAATGAATGTCTCACCCCCTGACTTCCCACATATTCCAGAGCAACAAAGGTCACTTACAGGAGGAAACACAACACAGGTAGTCCTCAACTTAAGACCACAATGGAGCCCAAAATTTCTGTGACTAAGTGAGATCGTTGTTAACTAAGTTTTGACCTATTTTTGCAACCTTTCTTGCCCCAGTTATTAAGTGAATTGCTGCAGTTGTTAAGTTATAACATGGTAGTTTGGTGAACCTGGCTTCCCCATCGGCTTTGCTTGTTAGAAGTTTTTTAAAAAAACCCAACAACAATCACATGACCTCAGGACTCTGCATCCGTCATAAATATGAGTCAGTCGCCAAGCATCTGGATTTTGATCTGTGGGAATGCTGCAGTGGTCATGAAGTGTGAAAAACGGTCAGAAGTCCCTTTTTTCAGTGCTGTTGTGACTTCAAACAGTCACTAAATGAACTTGTTGTAAGTCAAGGACTACCTGTAGATGTTTAGGGTCTCCCCAAGGTAATCCAGTATTTTGCAAAAGCAACAAAAAAGAGTGGTTTAATCACAGACCCAAATCAGAAGTGCATGACTATAGGGATACTGTAATATAAGTGCAAGGACTGATCATAAATCACTTTTTTCAATGCCATCCTAAGTTCAAACAGTCACTCAATAAATGAGCATAAGTTGAAGATTATTACCCGTAATATGTTTCTTTCCTTCTGACATTTGCTAACTCTAAAAAAGCATTAGAAGTGTCTGCAACTTGGATTGGGGATCTTGCATATCACTCCATCCTGATTAAGCCATAATGTGCCTATGTCCATGCAAGTAGATGACAACAACTTCGGGGAAAAAATGATATAGAGGGAGCCTGAGCAGGGTTAAATGCCTCCATCCTGCCTTAATACCCAAATCCCAACAAGAGGAGAGTCCATCCGAATCAGTTGGAGTGTGGCATAATTTTTAGGACAAAACAATCACTCCAATCACTCACCTCTATTTTATACAAATTTTGCCTTTCATTTTCCTTTAAAATAAACCAAGCGGCCAAATAATCCTATGATACAAATGACCACTAAATGCAGTGGGCCAAGTAAAAGAGGCAGCATTAGCAAATTGTACCGCATAGTCACCGGATTCAGAATGGCGGCTCAACCAAAATTCTTCTTTCCCTTCTTGCAGGGACCTTTGGAAAATTGGTGAGTTGATGCTTGTATAAGGGGAGAGAGTGATCAAAATTTTTTGTGGTTTCATACAGAAGTAGTTCATGATAAATCTCAGTGAATGCAGCCTTTTTCTTCTTAGCTGGGGTAAATAGATGGGGTCCTGCAAGGGAGTGAGAAGAGAGAACACAATGAGACTGTACCTTTGTTGCAGAGGTCAAGAACTACAGTATGCTGTAAGACTAATTGCTTATTATGTAAACCACTGCTTATTAAAGAAAGCTCCAGCTGAGCACCTAAATTAGCCGAGAGAGATTTTCCAGTTTCCTCCTTGGTACTTTGGCATCAAAAGAGAAACCCAAGGAATAGCACAAAAGGGATATTGTGTATAGCATGGTAGAAAAAACTTGAATAAACTCTTGGGTGGTTGTAGTTGAGGGAGCTGAGCAAGCTTAGATGATTTTCTGGTTATCAGATCATAACTTTCAACAATGCTGTAGTACTGAATGCTTCTGTCTTGGATGTCACTGGGTGAATCTGGTCAGGGCCTAGATAATAGAAGCCTCAGAAGCTGCTTGTCAGATTTATAATAATATTTAATAATAGCATCCATGTCTTGTTCAAATGTTTTAACAGTGTAGATTAGAAGGTTTGAAAGTATAGCTCAGGGAGTAAAAAACAGTATGCCCAAGTCTGGTGCTGTCCTTCTCCCCAACCCTCTCTTCCTGTTAAAACCATACAATTATAGCTAACAAATATACCAATCGCTATTAAATACTGTCATAACGAAATACCCGTGGCTCAAAACAAGATTTGTTGACCAAGCATTTGAACAATGATATTCTGAACTATTATTTAATGCAGAATATTAGAATTAAGAATTGTTGAGGAATGAACTTTGTGGATGATAACTTGGATTTGCTACACATACCATATTTTGAAGTAGCATTGTAGACTCTTCACTGAGAGCAATTATGCCCTCTTCAAGATTATGTGTTTGAAGCTTATTGTAGAAAGACCTCAGTCCTCGCTCCATTTGAGCAACAGAAGCAGCTATACCATAATATCTCCAGACTGGCAACCTATTAAAAAGAAAAGTCTTGCTTGATTTAGCAATAGATTTTCCTGGATCACAGATTTTGTTATGATAAAAATAAAACATAGTTTACATAATTGGGCTATACCAACAGAGAATTTCCATTATATATATATAATGTCAGAAATATATATAGAAAAGAAATAGGAAATTTATATTTGGTCAAACTGAATAAAAGAAATCCAACATGTGGACTCAAACCTTTGTAATTAGTGAATTGTCATGTTAGACCTCTTCTCACTCTGTCAATTATGTTCAGTCAGTGTCTGACAAATGAAAATAAGTGAAGAAGCCTTGGGTCCCAATGAGGAAAGTTTTGTAGGCAGGCCACACTTAATCTTGTTGTCCGAGGTGAGGGTCACAGTCGGTAGGGTGATTATGAGATGGATCGATGTCAGGCGCAAAAGATCAGATCCATCCAATTAAATTGATGTATTGTTACTAATGCCTAAGCATAGGATTATCGTTATTTAACGATAAGCACCTGCTAGGAGTTAATGGATTTTGGGGTGGTTGGACTTAGTTCGCTTGTGGTTATGTTGAGATTCTAGGTTGATCCCTCTTTTAATTCCATCCCCAGATTCTGCCACTCCTTCCCCTAGAGTCGATATTTATACATATAGGCACAGGACTTTTTGTTACTGTTTCCTACGTTTGATAATCCTAGGTCCTCATTTCTTATGTTTTTCAACTATTTTACATTTCAGTATTTTTGTACCCCACTCAAAAAGGCAGCAAAACATGTACCTCCATCTTTGGGAGCCACAATCTGATTTTCAGTCTGATTTAGGATCAAGCTGTAGGCTTGTGACTTTTTCTCCCAGTCTAGAGTCCTTTTAATATGTAAGGACAACAATTCCCAGATCTTGGCATTAAATAACTGCTTGAGATATCATCCACTTTACAATTTTTACCTAAGTATGTCTGTATCTGGCAATCTTCGTTGTTGTCTGGGAAGTCGACTTCTCACCAGTTCCTGATGAGCAGATGTGATGTTTTGACTCACACACACAGTGTACTGCAGGGAAGCCAAGTCTGGGCCAGGAATATTTTCAAGGCAAAAATGTCTATTTCTCTCCACTGAGAGAGAGATTGGTGTATCTGAAACCATCATCACGGTTACTCCTTCAATGATAATACACAGAAAAGCATTATTCATGAATCATTAAATACTTTTTCAGTATATTTTTTCTTTGTGTAACATAAAGGTTCCAAAGTGGTTTGCAATTGCTTTCTTCTAACATGTTTTTTTTTTCAGATTCCCAGTATAGTCAGCCAAGATGGATTAAGTGCTAGCATCCGCTGAGGCAATTTTTGATGGACTCTGTCGGAAATAAGGTTGAAGATGTTGATTTTTCAAGGTCATTTTTTAGTTAGTATCTTAATATGTCAACCCAACCTAGTGCTCTACAGATGTATTGGATTACAGCTCCTTTATGTCTATCCTTGTAAATGGGAATTCGAATACAATACAGTACTATAGGCCTTTATGTATGAGTGTGTATGCTATATGTATAATGTCACACAAGCCTCACATGGATTTTATTTTTGTTGCACATAGGTGAGATTGCAGAAACATTCTGTTGTTTACAGATGGAGTATGTATAAGAGATATAATTATTCCATAGTCCACAAACATTGATGGAAACTCCAAATAATTAGATATTTCTTTTAATCAATAGTATCTCCAAGCCAAACACCATACGAGAGAGGCGTTCCCTGATATTCAGACTTGTTGACCCTGGCAATAAATCATCTTCACAGTATGAAGCTTAGTTCTGAACTGTGGCAAACCTTTAGAAGGAAGCATTTTTCCTTGATCTGCTAAACTGGGACATGCCAGAGACAGAACGGTACCAGAAATCCAGAGATACAGCAATACTTAAAACATTAAACATGCTTTACAATGTAAAGTGTGGCAACTGTTTTTAATCCTGTCATGCTGTTTATGCTCCTTAAGATGGAAAGGAAAGGTGAAATAAATCCTCTTTATTGCAAGGCAGAAAGACTCAGCAGAAAAGGGGAAAGGAAGATATTAAGAAAGAGAGGGATATAAACTGGAATGAGAAAAGATATAGGGAAAAGAGGGGGAGGAGAAGCAGTAAGAAACAGGCATGTGAAAGAAAGAAATGGAGAACTAGTAAAATGCTGAAAAGAAATTGTTTTTTCAGAGATAATGGTTGATGAATTAAAAAGGGGATTCTGCAGGGTGACAAGGGGTAATAAATATTTCTGCAATTAAAAATATTTAGAAAATAGGGTAATATAGATACTGATAACTCTTATTAAAGGGGGGGGGAAATATGCTGTGGAATCCAATTGAAAAGATGTAATGATTAATGGTTTATCAGGAATTAAGATGAGGGAATAAAGGTATATTCTAATCATTAAGGTGTCTCACTCAAAATAGTAAAAGAGGAGAAACCTATACTTGTTCTTTTTTCTTTTTCTGTGTGTGTGTTAAAATTTGTATTCATTTAGAATTCATAAAAAGAAATGTGTAATGGAAAGGGAATATGACAGACTAAAGAACCAGCTAAATTAATAAGTTTAATATAGATTATTAAAAGCAAGGAGAGACATTTGCAACTTCATTATTACTACTATTAGGCAAATATATATTGTTTATTTTTATTTTTAAAATAAATATTAAGGATTATATTTGAAATAATTGAAATGAAATAAAAAGATGTTTAGATTGAGATTAATGAAAGAATTTAGAATTAAACTTTATTATTATTATTAGGCAAACACATATTGTTTATCTTTATCTTTAAAAACAAATATTAAAGGATTATATTTGAAATAATTGAAATGAAACAAAAAGATGTTTCGATTGAGATTAATGAAAGAGGCTAGAATTAATGTGTTTGTTTCTCTCCTTACTGAAAATTTGGAATGGAAAAGGTAATAATAGAATTAAGTATGCATATATCAATGTATAATTGCTGTCATATTTGTATGTAAAGGTGATGACCTGAAAATATGTTGTCCACTAAAAAGAGATTTTTGTTTTTAATGTGAAAAGCTGAATAAAGTTTGTTAAAAAAAATAGAATAGAATAGAATAGAATTCCTTATTGGCCAAGTGTGGCTGGACACACAAGGAATTTATCTTGGTGCAAATGCTCTCAATATACATAAAAGAAAAGATACATTCGTCAAGAACCATAAGGTACAACACTTAATGATAATTATAGGGTACAATAAGCAATCAAATCATACTAGGAAACAGTCAATATAAATCGTAAGGGACTGGAAAGATGTACATGCACATTCATTCATTCATGCATTCATTCCAATTTATATACAGGTAGTCTTTGATTTATGACCACAATCGAGCCCAAAATTCTATTACTAAGCAAGACATTTGCTTGTCAGAAGATCATAAAAGGGGATCACATGGGACACTACAACTGTCATAAATACATGCCAGTTGCCAAGTATCTAACTGGATCATATGACCATGGGGATGCTGTAACAGTCATAAGTGTGAAAGACAATCATAACAATGGCATTTTTTAAAGTGCCATTGTAACTTCGAATGGTCACTAAACAAATGGTTGTAAGTTGAGGACTACCTTACCCACATTCCCAAGACTGTGGGTAAGTTACAAATTAGAGGTACAATTGTAGAGTTGTAATTGCAGGAATGTTCCAATCTAGGATGGCAAACCTCAGATAAAGAATGTTTCCAAGCAAATACAACTCAGGCAAACAAAGTCACTAATCTAAAGAAGGATTAGAGAGAGGAAGTAAACATATGTTAGACTTTAACTAGAGATAATTAATTGTATGGATTACTGTACTAAACAGTAACCAAAGTTAAGCAGTAACCAAAGTTAACCAATGATGGAGGATAACTAAAATATATATATAAATGGAAGACTATACTCCAATAAAGATCATCATAATTCAGTTGTTCATGATCAAACAACTCGACTGCCTCGACATTACAACATATAATATGATAAAATATCATCTGATAAAAAGGCAACATCCAAGTACCAACGATCAATCAGATAACTGCAGATACTGTATGTTACCAAACACCAGGTGAAATGCTATCACTTTGACAGCTCTATGGAAAGCCAATATTTTGGGGTATGTGATGTGTTTCATGGGGTAAGTCTTCTACATCAACTGTTTTGGAGAAGGACTGTCTCTGGTCCCATGCCTCTTCAATCTCTTGTAAGGTTTACATCCTAAGCAGTAGTGGGCTGCAACTGGTTTAACAACCGATTTGGTGAACGCATGCACAGTGTTCAAAATACAGCCATTTGAAGCTCAACTGCTTACCTTCTAGGGCAGCCCCAGTAAGTAGAACAGCTGAGGCATGGAAATCAGCTGTGCCATGCAAGTCAACTGAGCCAGAAAGACAGAAATATAGGAGAGGATAGGGTGGGGGCAGGTGGTGGTCGGAACTACCAACCGGCAGCAGCCCACCACTGATCCTAAGCAATCCCTTTCTTCTGGACAGCATAGGCTGGGCAAATTCCCTCTGTTTCTTAAGGTAAGAACTCTTTTGAATTGAGCTTGATTCTTAGAAGCTAATTCTGAGAGTGCCTTCCCAGCACATTCTCAGAGTTATCTCAACACATCTGGAAGTCCCCATATTGGCGAAGACAGCCTAGTCTCATGCATTTTCACAAAAGCAGAATGGACAGTAGTACATACCCTTGTGCATAATGCACAGATTATGTTATTTAAAAAGTAGCAAATTACTCTCAGTTCTGAGTAATGGGGAGGCCAATACTTTATTTATTTATTTATTTATTTATTTTGTCAAGCAATTATAAGATAATAGGTATAAGTATAAGCATGGTTATGAATACATGAAATGGATACATATAAGAAAAAAAATAAACAATAGGACAGGGACAGTAGGCACGTTGGTGCACTTATGCATGCCCCCTACAGACCTCTTAGGAAAGGGGTGAGGTCAGTAGTAGACAGTTTAAGTTTTTGGGGTTTGGGGAAGAATCCACAGAGTTAGGTAGAGTATTCCAGACATTGACCGCTCTGTTGCTGAAGTCGTATTTCCTGCTATCAAGTTTGGTGCGATTAACCTTGAGTTTGTATCTATTGTGTGCTCTTGTATTGTTATGGTTGAAGCTGAAGTATTCATTGACAGGTAGGACATTGCGATGTATGATTTTATATACTATACTTAGATCAGACCAAAGGTGGTGTAGTTCTAGGTTGTCTAGGTCTAGAATTTCAAGTCTGGTGGCATAAAGTATTCTGCAACGAGTAGAGGAGTGGAGAACTCTTCTTGTAAAATATTTCTAGACTTTCTCAACTGTATTAATATCAGATACATAATGCAGGTTCCAGACTGATGAGCTGTATTCTGAAGTATTGGTCTAGCAAATGTTTTGTATGCTCTAGTTAGTAGTGTGATATTACCGGAGAAAAAGCTACACAGGATTAGCTTAACAACTCTTAACTACTTAAGTTAAATAGATGCTGTTAAGTTTGAGCAATGAGAGGCTGAACCAGAGCATGAGTGCAACAGTACTTTATTTTACAAATAAAGGGCTGACCGTGCTTGCCAAGCCTGGAACTGGCTCGCAGCAATCAGCAACCAGTTGGACCCCGCAGCCTGCTTTTATAGCTGGCTGCTGGGGAGAACCAACCAATGGGAATGGGGGAATATCGCCCACACAAAGTGAGTGGACCTGAGTGAGAACTCCTTGAGTCCTCAGGACATAACACCCCTTCCCCCCAGATGCGAACACGCATAGTCCTTGAGGTAGACGGGGGGTTTGTGTTGGCGCCCGGAGCGGCGCAACTCGGGAACATTGTCTGTCTGTTCGGTATCAGTCTGTGACGGTTGAGCTGGCATAGTGTCGCCAACACTCTCTCTGGACTGGACATCCTCGGAAACCACCGGGTTGGTTTCTGGGGTCGAGCTCTCGTGGGTTGGATCAGGTTGGTCAACTCTCTGGGCGCTGTTGTCCGAGTTTGGGCTGACCGGAACGACCGCTGGCGCAGACTGGTCGCTGGGTGCGGTGTGGCTGGGCGGCGGATGAGACGGTTCCCCTTCGACTGGAGACTCTGGATTCTTGTTTGCGAGGTTGCTGAGGCGCCTTCTGAGTTGGTCTATGTGTCTCCTCCAGACGCGACCATCCTCCAGCCTGACTCTATACGATCTCGGCCCGGTGACGGCGATGACCTCGCCCGGAATCCAAAGTGGGTCCCCAGCGAAATTCCTTGCGAATACCGGCTCCTGTAACATAAAATGTCTAACCCCCGAAGTGGAAGCGAGGGGAGAGTCAGGGCAGTATTGTGGGTGCAGTCTATCTAATACAGTCCTCAGGCGCCGGCCCATCAGAAGTTCCGCTGGGGACTTATTGGTGACTGCACAGGGGGTTGAGTGCTGGTTCATCAGGAACCGTGAGAGTTTGTGGTGCCAGTCATCTCTGCCAAACCTAGCGAGGGCCTCTTTGGTGGTCCTGACGGCCCTTTCAGCCAACCCATTACTCGCAGGGTGAAATGGGGCTGTGAAAATGTGGCGAATGCCTAGGTTGGCTGCAAAACGGCTGAATTCTACTGATGCGAACTGTGGGCCATTATCGGAGACCAAGGAGTCGGGTAGTCCATGTGTAACGAACAGGCGCGTTAACACGTTGGTGATTGCTAGTGTGGTGGTCGTGGATAGCTGTGCCACGTCTATCCATTTGGAATAAGCGTCCACGACCACTAGGAACATCTTTCCATGCACGGGGCCGGCCAGATCGATATGGATTCTAGACCAAGGGGCGCTGGCGCTCTCCCATCTGGTAGGGGTGGCGATGGGGGGAGCAGGACGGGATTCCTGGCAAATGCTGCAGGAACTTACCCAATTGACAATGTCCTCGTCTAGACCCGGCCACCACACGTAGCTGCGTGCCAACGCCTTCATTCTCACAATGCCGGGGTGTCCCTCGTGCAACGCCTCCAGGACTCGGGTACGCAGTGAGGTCGGAATGACCACTCGAGTGCCCCACAGTAGACAACCCTGCAAACTGGACAGATCCTGCATGCGAGTCTTAAAGGGTGCGAATTTGTTATCAACATTGCCTCCCGGCCACCCCCTCCTCACCCAGTCGAGCACCTGGGCGAGCGTTTGGTCTGCCTTGGTTTTGGCGGCGATGTCAAGGGCGGTGATGGGCAGGTCCAACTGGGTGATTTCAAAAATGGCATTGACAGGAGCTGGGTCTTCAGCCGGAGCGGGTAAGGGGCAGCGACTGAGCGCGTCAGCGTGGGATAGAGTTTTGCCCGGGCGGTGGATAAGTTTGTATGAGTAGGCCGCTAGGAAAAGTGTCCACCTTGTCATCCGAGGGGAGAGGACTTGAGGTGTCTGTTTGTCGCCGGCCAGTAGGCCCAGGAGGGGCTTATGGTCGGTGACCAGTTCGAAGAAGTGGCCAAAAAGGAATTCGTGAAACTTTTTCACGGCTGCAACAGCTGCTAGGGCTTCCTTGTCTATTTGGCTGTAATTTCGCTCCGTGGCCGAGAGCGTCCTGGAGAAAAAGGCGATGGGGGCCTCGGCGCCATTGGCGAGTCGGTGACTAAGGACCGCCCCAATTCCAAAAGGGGATGCGTCTGCTGCCAGTACTAAAGGAAGGTTGGGGTCGAATTGGATGAGCACTGCCTCTGACGTAAGTAGTGATTTGACGGCGTTAAACGCCTGGTCTTCTTTGTGCCCCCAGTGCCACGGTGACTTTTTGTCTAGTAATCTGTGTAGGGGTTCGGCTACTGAGGCTTTATGGGGCAAGAAGGATGCATAAAAGTTTAGGAGCCCCAAGAAAGCTTGTAGCTCCATTTTGGAGGTCGGTGTGGGAGCTTCGTGGATCGCCCTAACCTTGGACTCCAGGGGGTGAATGCCAGAGGCGTCAATTTTATAACCCAGAAAGTCCACCTGTCTAATGGCAATGGCGCATTTTTCTTTTTTTAACTTGAGGCCATGCTGTCTGAACCTCTCTAACACTGCTCGCACTCTCTGGAAGAGTTGGGGTCTGTCCCTGGCCGAGACCAAGATGTTGTCGAAGTAGGGTACTACACCAGGGAGGCCCTGTAAAATCCGCTCCATGAGGGACTGAAAAATACCCGGGGCAACACTTACGCCAAATTGGAGACGCTTGCATCGGAAGGCACCCCTGTGAGTGATGATGGTCTGAAGTTCCGCTGTTTGGTTATCAACAGGGAACTGTTGATATGCTTGAGACATGTCCAATTTAGCAAAAATACTGCCCGGTTCGAATGTGTGCAATAAGTGCTGAATGACGGGCACAGGGTAGGCGCTAACTTGTAAATATTTATTGATTGTTGTCTTGTAGTCCGAGCAAATTCTCAGGCTACCATCTTTTTTGAGGGGTGTGACAATGGGCGTCTCCCACTTGGCGAAATCTGTTGGCTCAATGACCCCTTGTTTTAGTAGTTTATCCAATTCAGCGTCTAGTTTTGGTCGAATAGCAAATGGAACTCTACGTGGTTTTAATCTGATTGGGACTGCCTGGGGGTCAACGGTGAACGAGATGGGGGTTCCATTATAACACCCCAGCTCCTCGCTGAACACATCTGCGTAGTCAGCGAATAAGGAGTCAGTGTCTGAGGTTGAGACAGCATGGACTCCTGTTAACCCTAGGCCGAGGTGGGGAAACCAATCGAGCCCCAATAAGGTGGGTAGATTGCCGTTAACTACCACTAGAGGTAGGTGGCCTTTAAAAGCTCTAAAACTGACAAAGAACTTGCCTCTGCCGATCACGGGAATGGCCTTCCCCTGGTAGTCCTTCAGACCGAACTGGCATCTCTGAAGCCGGGTAGTAGATAGGCTGGGGTGGAGTCTCTTGAGGGTGTTCCACGAGATTATTGAGAGCGCTGACCCTGTGTCAACCTCCATGTGGCACGGTTTACCTTCTAGGGAAACGGAGAGAGAAATTTTACTAACAGTGTGGCCAGTACGCCTGGCAAGGCGGTGCGTGCGACAGTTTAATACTTGCCTCTGTGGCCCCGAGTGCGAGGACGGGGGTCTGTGTGCAGCGCTTTGGGGGGCTTGGCAGACTCTCGCAATGTGCCCCCTCTTATGGCAGTTGTTGCAAACGGCTCCTTTAAACTTGCAGATGGCCCTTTGATGTGATCCCCCACAGGCTAGGCACAGCGTGATGTGCTTGGGTGGACCGGTGTATTCTTGTTTGGCCCCTACCTGCGACCGTCTGTCATTGGTGAGGCGATGGACATCGTTCTCATCGTTGTGGGCTTCCTCTGCTTCCACCTCTTCGGAATGGACTGGGAACGATGCTAGCTTGGCACTTGGGCCCTGAATTTCGGTGGCTGAGTTTGTTGCTAGCTCGGCTGCTAGGGCCTCCTCTACCGCTTGCGCAAGGTTGAGGTCTTTTTTAGCTAGCAGTCGCCTCTGTAGGTTGAGATCCTTGACCCCACAAACTAATTGATCGAGGAGCATGTCCTCCAGGTATGTTCCAAACCCGCAGTGCAGGGCTGCTGTTCTGAGGGCGGCCATATATTGATTGATGGTCTCCTTACTTGATTGCTTCCTCATACGGAACGTGAACCTCCTGGCGATTTGTGAAGGCCTGGGAGCGTAGTGGTTAGTGAGGATCTCAAGCAACTCGGACCACGGAACGTTTTTTAATTCTCTCGGCGCTACGAGTGCTGCGGCGGTATCGTAAACGGTGGCTCCGCAGTAGATTAGGAAATAGGATTTTTTCCGATGCTCTCCCGCATCCGCCAGGCCGACCGCATCAATGTAATGATTGAAACGGTTCTTATACGATTCCCACTTCTCTTCGTCTGGTTTAAACGCTGGGAATACTGGGTTGGAACTCATGGTGCTGGAACGGCTGGGCTACCTGCGGAAAAAATCTCTCTGGGACTACGAGCGCTCGTGAGTTACTAGTGATATCAGCTCTGGAGAGGTTTTTTGCTAACCTCTCTTTCTCTCTCTGGGTTACCACGTTGGCTGCTAACCGTTGGAGGTGTCTAGATTCGCGCCAAAAAAAGTGGGCGTTAGTGACTCTCTACAGCGCTGTGCTGTGATTCCTACTGGCTCGAAATTCAAATGACACCCGTTTGAATTTCGCGCCAAATGCAGAGCGGCTGCAGCTCGCAGCGCTTCACTTTCCCCGTAGCGGGGCTAACAAGCGGCTACAGACGCTTCTAACTTTTTGACTCAGACCGCTTTCTCTGGCTGCGGATCTGCGTTTGCTCTTTTTGATCGCTCGTTTTGTTAGCTGACCGCTCTCTCTGGCTGCGGATCGGTGGCTAGTGACTCAGCGGTTGCAAGGTGCATCTGGTAGCCATCCCATCCTCGTCGCCAGTGTTAAGTTTGAGCAATGAGAGGCTGAACCAGAGCATGAGTGCAACAGTACTTTATTTTACAAATAAAGGGCTGACCGTGCTTACCAAGCCTGGAACTGGCTCGCAGCAATCAGCAACCAGTTGGACCCCGCAGCCTGCTTTTATAGCTGGCTGCTGGGGAGAACCAACCAATGGGAATGGGGGAATATCGCCCACACAAAGTGAGTGTACCTGAGTGAGAACTCCTTGAGTCCTCAGGACATAACAGATGCCCTTCACCTCTTAGTCTTTCAGGACCATAACAAGACATCCCAGTTAATGAAGCAGTAACATTTCCTCCTACTAATAAAAGTGAACAGTGGCAGCCAATGCTGGACAAGCTGTTTTAGCATTGGAGTCAGAAGACCTTACAAATATTTCTGTCCTCTTTCTCTTAATCAGTTAGGACAACAAAGTAATTATCCAAAAATTTGTGGTAGTACACTTTGCCCAATGTCCTCAAGGCTTTTTTAAATCTAAGTTTTCAAAGCCGTGTGTGCTGTTGTATTTAGACACCACAATTTAGGAAATCAAATAAGAAAAGGAAACTTACCAGTGGATCCCAAAAAATATCTTTCTAAGACAGAGCCATAAGCATTTGGGCTTTTACTAAGGTTACTGATAGTGAACGGTTGGGACTTGATGTTCACACTATTCAGAGGCCAATGCTGACTACTGACACTGGCTCCTCCATACCAGGAGATGTTTACCATGGAAAAGCAATCCTGTAAAGCAAAAGACAAGATTAAAAAAAATGAAATCTTGTGCGTAGGTGAATGAAGAGATTTTTTTAGACACAATCAGCTTCTGATTCTGGCTAGTTTTAATAGAACGAACATATCTCCAAAGATATGAGGACAGCTTTTTAAACAAGGTCATATACATTGGAGGAGAAGATCTTCTTTCCTGAAGCCTTTACTTGGTGAGGCCACAAGAAGAACGAATAAAGAGCTGGGACAAGTACATAAAAGCGAAGATACTCCTTGATGTTTTAGCTCAAGCCATCATGTACTTTAAAAATCAATACCAAAATACTAAATTCAGCTCAGAAATTGGACAGTGATCATTGCAGTTGATGATACCCCTTTTGCCTGAATGGATGCTGGTTCATTTTTTCAGAACAAGCCTAGATAAGCAAATTAGTCAAGTACTTCCCATAGGGACATTCCAAACCGACTCTCCGAGTGGTTCCGGGTAGCCATAAAAGTCGACAGGGCATTACATGCTAATGACATGAGAAAGTCGCTGGAAACCAAAGAGAGAGATCAGCCAGACCAGAGACCACCCAAGTAACGCTGACATGTTCATAGCATGATGTGATCATACTGTTTGTTCTCAGTTACAACTTTGCAGCTTTATTTTGAAAGCCCCACATACCACAAATTACAGTTACTCAATCAAGAGGTTACTAGAAAATGTATAATTGACACTATAGTATAGGAAGTCTTTGTCTTACAAACTTTTGTTTAGTGATTGTTCAAAATCATAACACTAATGAAAAGAGTGACTGTTTTTGACACTTACAACCATTGCAGTAGCCTCACGGTCACATGATCAAAATTTGGATGCTTGGCAATTGGCATGTATTTTTTGCATGCCATGCAGCTGCAGTGTCTCAGGTCATGTGATCACCTTTTGTGACCATTTGACGAACAATGGGGAAGCCAAATTACTAGCTTAGCAAGTGCAGTAACTTGTGGGAAGAAAGGTCGTAAAATGGGGCAAAACTCCATTCTGTTGCTTAGTGACGGAAATTTGGGCTCAGTTGTGGTTGTGAGCCAAGGACTACCTGTGTCTTTGTCCAGAAGAAATGCAGCATGCTATAAAGGATGCTTCAAATCACCAAAATCAAAGTTGAGAAGAGCCACCTCTTTCAACCCTAAATCAGAAGAATCCCTAAATTATGGGAGCAATTTTTCAAGGGTGCAAATGTTTCCAGAAAAGATTGAACCCTACTGAGTTGGGCAATATGTCCATCTTGTCTGATATGAACTTCAATGTATTAGCCTTTATCCAATCTTTTATCAAACTCTCTCCATTCACTATAAAAATAAGTATATTTACTGTATAAACCAAAACACATAATTTTTATCAAAATAAATTCTAGAGCATCCTTAGAATTAGGTGGAAAAATTAGAATCCTATTCTGTAAGGGAAGAATATCTTTGTGAAATTAGAGGATAGATTTTTTTTTTACCATATTTGCTTTCAGTAAATGTCAATGTATTTTTATTTTCCTGTGGCTCCCATTATGGAAAGGTCTTCGTAAAACTGAAATCCAGTTATGAATGATCTCATTGAAAATATCCTTTCTGACTTTTTTTTAAATGTCTATAATTAACAAGATTCTTTAGAATAGCATTTTTAAAATTAATATGTTGTTCTTATGCAGGGTCAAAAGTTTTGCTATTACAAATTGAGAATGATAGAGAACTCCAAAGGAAATGAGGCTGCTGAAGGCAATGGTATATATGTCAATGTAAGCCAATTAAAATATAATGTGACATGATTAATCCATCCTGTACTCATATTATTAACAAAGATTTACTCTGTTGCCATAAAAAAAAAACAGGCAGTGTATAATAATAAGTACCTTGAAGCGATAATTCCTGTATTTACTGCTTATTATGAGAATTATAATCTTTCACTTGAAAAGCCACTTTCTCTGGATGTAACAAGATGGCTGTTAGGATTTATTTACAGCACTGAAAGTTCAAATCCTATATTAGAATTACTTCTGGATTGATAGAGGCTTCTTCCTGAATCCTCTGCTCCCTTTAATGAAGGTCATTAAAACTAGTACTAGAGTACAATCTCTAGCTTATCTGGCATACAGAAATGCTGCTAGCTGACATAGTTTCTTACAGAACACTGCCACTTGTTAGGCTTTTTGTTTGCCTATTATCCACAAAGTACTTTACTGTATATAAGGTAGCAGGATGTGAAGAATGGGTTTACCTGAGCAGATTCCATCATCAAACCAATCCATAGTCATTATAATATTAGTAGAAGCTTTCCTGCATTTGCAACCACCTATATAATTATAATGAACATAAATAATCTGAATAGTGCCGTCAGCTCCAAATTTGCTTATAACTGACACAACTCCAAACCTACTAATAAATTTGACAAAAGACTGGTGTTGCCTTATCTTAGTGGTTCCTCACTAATAACCTTAGTGATTGACTTAGTGCTTCCTCAGAATAAAATGGGTCCACTATACTGAGTTAAACACCTCTATGAATCACTCATGCTCAACAATGGTATTCTAAAAAGTGTCATCCCATCAAGTCCAGCAGTTCATTCTCACAATCACAGTGGCCAACCAATTGCACAAAGAGTCTCACTATTTTCCCAGCATATGGCCTTCACTATTAGCTAGGCTATTAGCCATTGTTCCCCGTGACTTCCATGAGGGTTGTTTTATAACTGTACCATTTCTAAATGCTATTCAAATAGCTTAGGCCAGGGGAATCAAACTCGCATTGTCACAGCATCATCACATGACATATCATGACTTTTTCCCCTTTGCTAAACTGGGAGTGGGTATGGCCAGAGTGTGACACATCTGGCCTGTGGGCCGCAAATTTGACAGCCCTGGTTTAGGCTGTTACAAAATTATTAAAATTGCTCAAATCAGTCTCAAACATATTTTAAGTTGGGATCCAAAGGGCTGGAAGATGGAAAGCTGGCTAGCTGGAAGTCCCCTGAGACTGTTCTGGGACTGTGGACTTTAATTCTGGGAGTTGAAGTCTACATATCTTAAAGTTGCCATGTTTGGAGACCCCTGGCAGAAGATATAACAAGACCTTTTAGAATTTGTGTATGGTCTCTCATCTTCCAAGTCACCAAGATATGATTCTGAAAAGATTTGGCTTTATTTTTGCTACAGTTGGTGGACATCTAAAAAAACCCAACTATGATTCACTGTGATGGGTGGAACTTAACCTAGCATAATCCTCATGCCTAAAATGGAGTAAATTTATTCAACTGTTTATATTATTTCTGTTATGGTTTGTTCCTCCTTTTTTCTGTCTTTCCATAATTTTGAAATGGAAAAGCATTTCTCACATGAACAACATACATTTTGAATTTATTTTCCAGAAATGCCTAACATATTAGTAAATCCCAAATGAGGCAATTTTTTGAAGCTGTGAAACTATGGTAATTCAGGTGCCTCTGTATTTCACTATTTTCCATGTTATTTCCTTTTCCTCCTTTTTCTGTGCAAGTGTAGAGAAGAAAGAAAAGGACAAAAGCTCTACATGATGCCTTTTGATTGACAGTGTATACAAAGAAACTGGAAAGGGAGCAAAAAAAGAGATCAATTGTTAATTACAAAACACATTTTCATTAAATTTCCTTAATTAACATTGTGTTCCCATTGTCCTTAATTTCAAATATAAAAACTGTTGGGCTGCAATATTCATTTTGCAAGATCTCAATTATTATGTTTGTTTGGAAGGAGAGCTAATTTCTCATTGTAGACTATTTCCAATTATGTGTGCCCATACGTGCATCTGAAAACACATCTTTTCCAGCTTTGCATGTGCAAAAAAGCAGCACAGTTCTTACATTTTGGTTCTGATAGAGAGACATCTGCTAGTTTTGAAATTTCTTTAATCTAAAGTCTTCACACATAGACAAGATAAATATAGCAAAGAAGAGTTCTGCTGTCATTTGGACATTTAGTTTTGGTGGCCACTCATCTTACTTAAGTTGTTATTTTTGACACATTATTTTTGTACATTTACATATTTGATGGGTTTATTGTAGCATCTTCTCAACAATTAAGCTGTGCAAGATAGCTTGGATTCAGGAATTTCATACTGTTGGAGATGAAATCCTCTTAATCCAAGGAAAGAGGCAACAGAATTTGCCTTGTTGACATACTTCGTGGTACTTTCCAGAGTCATTTCGGTATTTCCAGCCTTTGGAGAAGCTGAAAGAGTCTTTTGGATAGCCATGGCTGGTGCCTGCACAATAACCACTTTTTTGGGGTGGGGGGGTGGGGAGGTATTCCAAAAACTAGAGGAGAATACATGGAAGCTCAGTTAGCAAATGGAAAGGAAATAAAGTAACTGCCTTTTTCTTAAAAGTGAAGGAACCACATTCCTTCAAAAAAAGCTCTGAGAGAATGCTTTGCTTGAAGCTTCATTGAATAAACGCATCTCCCATTAACCCACAATGCTGCACTGAAACCTCTTTTGGATTTAATTATAGTATAATTGTCATTTTTAATTTCATGAGTGCCAGTTTTATATTCTCCATTCCCTCCTGCATCTTGAGATTTTCGTAGTATGTACACAGAAGAATCCCTCTCTTCAGATTTTTCTAAATAGCTTTGTATGCTGGGAAGGTACAAATAGAGATTTTCTATATTCTCAATAAAAACTAAGATCAATGCAGCAACTGTTTGCTACTGTAGTCACCAATCTGACCTCAGAGCTGGTCAAATGTATATTCTTTCTTCACATCATTACTATCTTGACATCACACAGCTGAATTTGCCTTGTTATAAAGTTATGTAGAAAATACAATAGAAATAAAATAAATGAAAGCTATAATTAGTTACCTTTACTTTCAGCTGGCAGTGAAGGGGAGTCCAGTTGATGTTGTAACACTCACTGTTGGGAGAAGGATTGGAGTCCAGGAAGACCTTCAGTTTGACTATACCTTCCCAGGTGTAACAGAATTCAGACTGATTCTGCCAACATATGTTCTTTATGAAAGGCATCTCCATATCTGGGAAGCTTCCCATGTGAATCTTTAGCAAGATTCTTTCTTCTTTCAGAGTCTGAAGGATGAGACTGTGATCTTTTCGATCCCAAATCAGACCACTGGTACTACTTCTCAGGATCCAGTTTGTGGTTGGCTGATCCACTACTTGCCAATAAATAATCCCAAAGGTCATCAGAAGGAAGAATGCTACCCCAAAGCAGGCAATCACACCTTTCCAGGTTTCATTCATTTCCTTTAGCCCAGAATCCCACATCACCTCTGGAATTGCACTGGGGTTGTTCCTAGGATGATTGTAAGGCATTGTTTTAATCAGCAAAAAAAAAAAAAAAGACAGAAGGAGTAAAAGGAAGAGGAGGAGATCTGGCAAGGGATTTCAGGGCCCCAAGCTTTCTGTTATTGAATTTTGCAGGAAATTCTGTTCTCTCTCCCAGCTCCACCCTTCATACCCTGGCTGTCTATCAATAATTCCACACCATTGGTACCCAGGAAGGGAAAAAACAAAAAGAACTGGGGAGAGTAATAGTCCTGAAAGGTTTTCTCCATGTATTCTTCAAGAAGAGACTTAAATCTGGGGAAGTTATTTGAGCCAGTGCTGCAGAGCAGTGTAAAAGGGAGGGAGCTCGGAAAAGAGAACTGCAAATAATGTGGAATGCCAGGTCCATTTGTCCTGCCAGATTTTTCCCAGGTGCTTGACGTAGGATAATCTATGGATGATAGTTAACTACAAAGAACGCTAAGCCTCTTTTAGATATGTCAGTAAGCACTGGATCCTTGGATAATTTCAGTTATTCAATTGTTAAATGGAATACATAACTGATGTCATTTATTTGATGTAGATATGGACCAATATTTCTATGCACTTGAATTATTTAGCCCTGTTCAAATGTATTTGGACTACATTATGCGCACTCTCAAACACTTCTTTTTTAGAAGTGAGTGTCCAAGGATAACAACAATAATACCAGAGTGCTATACACAACTTCCAACTGTTCCAGCTCAGACTGATTTTATAATATTGTCAAAGTTGAAGATGAGATTATTTCTGACTCTGTAAGAAGCAGAGTATTTTTCTTTGATTTGCTGTATTTCTGCATACATTGTATGTGTTCTGCTTCCCCACCTGCCTTCCAGATTGCGGTACAGCTAACCATTCGTTTTTAATTAAATCCTTCATTGAAATTCAGTCCTATCTTATCTCTTTATGCATTGTTTAGAATTTATTCTTGTCACCACCACCTACTTGTTCAAGCAATGTGCAATATTTTGCAAATGTACCCAGCTGCAAAAATTCCAGCATGTTATTACGACTGACAGAGACCTTTAAAGACAACGGAGGAACAGTGGCAAGACAGCTGGGAAGTCTTTGAAACATTTTAATACATGTATTTGTTTGTTTGCTTTTGCAGTCAAGTTCTCCTTCCATCACTTCCACCATAGCAATCAGTCAGATTTGTTTTCTCATTATAAGGCAAATGCACCCAAATACATGAACTGAAAAACATGGGGAGGGACAGCTTTCGACATTTATTTCATTTTTGACTTAGTGGGAGATGCCACTACAAAAAAAATCACCCAGATGTCAGCTAAAAGAAAAGAAGATGAGTGCTGATTGTTTCACCACATTCTCTGCATTTTGAACTCAGTAGACCATCAATAACAAGTTGGTTTCAAACTGTTTTGTGAGGGGTTTAGAAATGAAAATTCTGGTTGTGTGGAAGAGTCTTTGGTTCCATCACTGTCCTGTGCTGCCAGTTACACACACCCAGCTGCTTTCGGATAATAAACTCAATATATTTATTGCAGTCATAAACCTTTTACTGAACTAACCCCAAAACACTTTGCAAATTCAAGGCTTTCTGCACACACACACACACCCCTTCTCTCTCTCATAAACACACACACACACATATGCACCAGGCCCAAGTCCTAATTTTAGCAAAAGAGTCAGGAGAGATAGATCTCTGGTTACAGGAAGATTCAAGAATAATTCATTTCTAGCCCAAGGTTTCATGTAGTGAACAACAGCATGCAGAATCACAGGTAGAAAATTCTACTCTTGTTGACCACAAGAACCAATAACAAAAGCGATTTCTTGTACGTAGCCCTTATTATTAGCTCAAGTAAGGTGAGATATGTTGCTGGGCTCCAATCCTGGCCTGGCTCAACCAGTCTCTCTTTCCCCCCTGATGCACCCCTTCTTCATCTAATTCCTGGGGTTTCTTGGAAGCCTTCTTGGACAAGGTCAAGATTTTCAGCCTCTGAATCAGAAGACTCAAACTGTCCCTAACAACTCTGTGCACTGGAGTTCATCCCTTGATATGACTTTTTATAGGACTATGATTTAATTCAATTTGTTTTTAATTAAAAACTAGAAAGCTAAGTTTGAGGTGCTGCTGCCCTTTTTAAAAATAACTGAATGTTTTTAAAGTAGGGGAATGTTACATTTGTAGATCTTTTCCCCAAAATGTACATATCATACGTAAGTGTTTACTTCCATCGATTTATTCATCGATTGCATTGTTGAAACTTTCTGGGAGAAAATATTGGTCTCTTTTTTATCCTTGTAGCCCTTATTATGATAGCATTCCTGATAATAAGTTTGCATTCATGTATCATTTCAGTAATTCATGTATTATTTCTTTCTAAGAAATAATTTAAACTTAAATATGAGATTGACAGTGTAATCTTAAGGTTAAATATCTGCGGCTAAGTCTCAAGATATTCTGCTAGGCTTATTCTGTTAGGTTTGATTGTGTAGTTTTAGGCTGCTTACATATTTAGATTCACTTGACACCAAAGGGATTTGCTTCCAACCTCAACCTTCGCCTCTCCATGGAACTGTCCCTGGAGGAAGGAACAGAAACATTGCAATATGATAACCCTATTCTTGGGATCAGTCCAAAAGGATTCCATATTCAAAAGTAGTGAGAGCTTCTGGGAGATCAAGGAGCAGGAGGATGGATGCACCCCTTCCATCCCAACAATGCCATGAGTCTTAACAAGTGTGAATAACACTATATCCATACTGAATTTTGGCCTGGCTGAAGGGATTATAGACAGTCTCCTTTTGACAGGGTTCTCTGCAACTGCAGCCCACCTGGATGGTAGTTGTCTAAAATAGTTAAGCCCAACAATGGTTTCTTGAGAAGAGGGTGCACAGCGTAGGGATCCAGTTGCACATGTGTCTCATGATCAGTGGTGGGATTTAAATAATTTAACAACTGGTTTGCCCAGGGTAAGGTTGGCTGTCGTGGGAGGCTTGGCCCATCCCTGTCCTCCAGCTCTACATTTGGGACGATCCTCCCACGATAGCCAACCTGATCCTGGGTGAACCGGTTGTTAAATTACTCCCCTCCTGCTATCAAAGTAGTTCCTGGGCACTGCACTGCAATGTAATAGAGAAATGGTCAATGGAGAGGCAGGCATGATGGAAAGAGGAGGACCAGGGAGAAGGAAGAGGAAAAGCACCCTTCTCCTTCCCTCATGCTGGCCTCTGTTGCTTGTTTCTCCGTTGCAGCACAGCACCCAGGATCCACTTTGATAGTGGGGGAGGGGGAGGACAATTTAACAACCAGTTTGCCCAAACTGATGCAAACCAGCTAAATCCCACCAATGCTCATGACCACTTTAACTATCCAGGAGAGGCCTGGGTCCAACACAGGGGCAATTGAACTAATAGCAGAGAACTCTGTTCACCTCCTCAGGAGTCACTGACTCAAACTCCTCTCAGATCACACCATCTGCCTGGTCAGAGTCCAACTCGGCATGGATCTGAGTGACTTTATCCATCAAATAGCCGGATTTATATATTTATGCTCAAGGTATCTTCCTTTCCTGTAAATATGGTTCATTAAACAGCCTGGGGCCTCACGTACGCTTTTTCAGTATTTAGGCATGATAGTTGTAAAGGGAAGTCGTCCATATGACCGACCCAATTTTACAGCCTTTTTTGTGGCAGTCATTAAGCAAATGCCATAGTTGTAAAGTGAATGCAACAATCATAAAGTAAATCGATTAGTAAACCCAGTTCACTATGGGTTGGTTTCCCCAAAAACCAGAATTGGCAAAACCATTGTAAAAAGCAGTCATGTGACTGCATGACCTGCAAATGACCATAAATAGGGCTTTTGTCAGAACTTCAGGATCAAGTCATAAGTACCCCTGATGAAGTCTGGCGTAAGTTTGAATGGTTGCTAAGTTACCAGTTATAAATTGAGGATTGCCTGTATGTTTAACTGGGTCGATAAGGAGAGAAAGTTAATACTAGAATGGGATCTATTGTCTCAGTCAATTAATGTCCATGGAATCAGTCATTTACAAGATCAAAGTAACTCTAGCCACTCAGATTAATTATGGCAATACCTGAGCCCAATCACTTGACTCCGCTTGCGTACATAGTCCTCTGAGAAAGAGTGGAGGGGAAAGAGTAGCTGAAAAAGTGAACTTTATATGAGACATGATGCCAAGGTTTAGCAACACATAGCACACATTGATCAGAGTGTCAATGCGACACAGGAAATTGCTTATGTGGCCACTGAGGAAGAAGATGGCCATAAAGCTTTGCCAGTCCTCTCCTGATAAAATGGCTTATGAGACAGCTAGGTTCATGCTAGAAAAAGTGACAGCAAAATTATGATTTTTGACCCAGCTAATGTAATATGTAATATGTAATATAAGACCCAGATGTGGTAGGGAAATTTGACTAGATTACACATATTGTAGAGCAGGGACAATGGGTTTCTTCTGAAAGTTATATATATTTTTTCAAAGTATTGTTGTTCTTGCTACAATGCAAGGTTTCACTCACATACACATAAAGCTTTGAGAAAACAGAAAGATTCAGCAGATTAATTATATAGCTACATTTTTGTGTGCTTTAAGTAAAAGTCATGTTTAGGATCCTGAATGAAGTAAAGGGCAATTCATTTATTAGTAAACAGGAATTCATAATAGCAATTATCTTAAAAGGAAATCGGTTGTTCTTCAAGAAAAGGGGGTACCTGTCAAATGAAAGAAAAGATGGGATTGGAAGTTCTTAAATCTTGTGGTCTGTTTCTTATTTATAAGAAAATAATTCTTCCTGCTGATATGTCTCATTTGTTACTAAACTGGAAGGAGGGAGTTGTATCCAAGAAAGCACTGCAAACATACATTTTCCAACTAAGCCATGTTATATTCTAATAGATAATACTTAGATCTGTTCCTCAGGGTCATACAATTGGTGTGTGTGTGTGTGTGTCTTTACATATAGAGATTTGCATGCATGCAAGCACACACATATCAATTGAAATCATCAGTTCTGAAACAACTTTGATGGTTGTCTAGAATTCTGGTAAGCTAACAATACATGACCAGATTCTTGAGAAAAAAAGTTACATTATTTTAATTCTGTATTACAGATGCTGAAATAAAAAGGAAACTAAACTCTTCTTTAATGAACCCCTTGCTAAAATAGGCAAACACGCATTTTTCAGTGTTCTTTTCATTGTATCATAATGGAAGAATCCTTACCTGGTCTTAACAGCCTATGGTGCTCACCTCTTCCAACCTCTAGAATCTAA